TGTCTTCTCCCTTAATGTCATGACTCTTTTCCTACTGTGGTCCACAGCTTCATTCCCTGTTTTATCTCCTTGTCTGGATTCCCTAATCTCATATTCTTAATTCTAGGTTCCTGTTTTCATATCTTCTCTTCTACTTTATCAAACTATCCAGAATTTTCCAATTAAATTGTTAAAAAAAAAAAGACAATTTGCCAAGTTCCAGTTGAAAAAGCAGAACCACACAACTGAAAAGACAGTAGAAAAACCTTATATTCTTTCTTTGTTCACCAAGCTGCTAAATATAAAGAATAAATATATCTGTGAGTTGAAACATTTTCAGGCCATTTAAACACAAAAATTTTAATAGCCACAATTAAATCAAAGTAAGATGGTGAATTAAAAAGCTGAAAATTACCTCAAAAATTGTTCAAACAAATGTATTGATGTTAGTTTTAGTTTTAGTTTGCCACCACTTGTCCAGTTAAAAGGCTTGGGCCTGCCACTCCTCCTTTTCATGTGACACACTGTTTACTCAATCTCTGCTAGGCTTATCATCTTGTGTGGGGTGTGTTTCCCTATTGCAAATTCAAATGGGTTCTATTGGTCTAGTTAATCTCAGGTACAAATGATCCTCAAGCTCACCTCCAGCTTTCAGGTTTTCAGGCTCCAAGAGGGAGAGGACTGAGCCACCTCTGTTGCCACACAACATGACAGTATGCATGCCAATTACTTTGTGTTAACCTGAGAGCACAGCACTGACTGTGGGAGACACAGCCACCTGTTGAAGCTGATCTTATTTTGGATCTTCTTCATGGAAAGAAAGCATTGTTCTCTCCAGTGCTCAAGGGGGTTGTGTTTTCCTTGGCAATGCTTCGACCAGGATACACTGCACAGAAATATGTCAACTTCTATTCATGGTGGCTGGTATAATGAAGATATTTTTCTTCTCCCTTGGAGTTGGATTTCTCCCTGGTATTGGTAAAAGGTGTGTTCTGTTCTGTTCTATGCTGCCCATCAACAATGATTAACTATAGGAATATTTTTGTTTTTGTTTTTGTTATGGAGCTTGGACTCAGGGCCTGAAGCTATCCCTAAGTTCTTTTGTTCAAGACAAGCATTCTAACACTTGACCACAACTCTACTGTTTTTCTGAGAGTTATTGGGCATATGAGACTCCTCAAGTTTAATATTTGAGCTGATTTTGAACTCCAATACTCAGATCAAATCACAGGTTCCTGAGTAGTTCAGATTAGAACTGTGAGCCACCAACTCCTAGACGTTGAGTGAAATTTGATTACCTGTAGACAGGATGTCATGTGTATCACTCAATGTATACTTAATTTGTGATTGCTTGGTTTATTTTTCCTGTGTTCTCCTGCCTCTCTACAAACAGAAACACACATCTTAATAAACTTACAGTCATAGAATGGGATGTAGATAAAGCTGTTTATTAAAGCTGACAAGAAATACACAAGTACCATATATAATATTCTAGTATCTTTTTCCTTTTTTGAGGGGTGGGGGGTCCGGTTGTGGAGCCTGAACTCTGGGCCTGGGCGGTGCCCCTCAGCTCTTCAGCTCAAGGCAAGTGCTCTACCACTTGAGCCACAGTGCCACTTCCAGCTATTTTCTTTCTGCTTATGTGGTGCTGAGGAATCCAACCCAAGGCCTCACAGGTGCAAGGCAAGCACTCTACTGCTGAGCCACCTTCCCAGCCTCTCCAGTACCATTTTCTTTGAAACAATACTTTTATTTCATGTATTCTGAGTCCTTGTTGTTTACTCATGAATTCTAGTAGCCTAGTTTTTTTTAATAAAAATGTAACCAAAACACGCACCCTGCCAAAAAATTTCTCTCTTGGCTTTAAATGTGTTACAGCCACACCAATGGACCATATTGGCATATATGAAGGTGAGTCTCCTAATGTTTTAAGGCTGAGATCTGAGCATTGCAGTACAAAGATATCCCAGGCAGGAAGGTCCTTGAGACTCTTATCTCCAATAAACAACTCACAAAAGACCAAAATTGGCACAGAGTTCAAGTGCTAGAGAGTACTATGCTTGAGTCCAGACCGGCTCTGGGAAAGACCCTAAGACCTAAATTGTACATGTGTGTGTTTACACACATTATAGTCTTATAGCATGCTGAGCTCAAACTGAATTTACATAAATCCTTTGAGACCTCTGTGATCTCATTTACTGTGAAGAGGTAATTTTGCCTGACTATTCAACCTGAAGCAAAAGGAGAAAAGAAATGATTTCTTGATTCCCAAAACACATTGAGAGTCAGGAGCTGAGGCTATTTACCCAAGAGGTTTCAGGAAACCAAACACAGGCAAAGCAGCTTCTAGAACTGGCTATCAATGTGCCAAGGAGCTGGGACAGCTCTGCATACCTCGAGCCTCTATGTGGAGAATCTGAAATTCCATAAAGGCATCCAAAGATCATTCATCCAAAGAAAAATAGGTGGTTGCACTCAAGACAAGATAACATTTTCCCAACGTGAATGCTGCTGTGAGTGATGCTGTGGGCAGCAGACAGTTGACAAATGGAAGCATGACCAGCTTGGAAGCAACAGAGAAGGTGCAGTTTGGTAACTGATGCTCAGAGGATGCATTGTGTGCCTCCCTCCACAAGTGAGGCCTATGTTCAGTAGGATAAGTTCCCAGGAAATTAAGAAATAACTACAAATGGTGAGAAAAAGGGAAAAGTGTGAATGAATGCAATAACAATACCCACAAGACCCTATGCTGGAAATCAACTTTACAACATGGGGGCAGGAAGTCAGGTGAGAGAGGGTCCAGAGGGGTAACAATATTCGACAAGAAATGTACACATTGCCTTACATACGTAACTGTAACTCCTCTGTACAATACCTTTAGACTAAATTTTTAATGAAAGAATCATGCTTATAATAACATGAAAAAGAATAAAATAATTAGAAATAAGAATGGAAGGAGAGTCAAAATGAATACACAAAAAGTATAATCCATTGATCAAGGAAGTTAAAACAAATAAGGGAAAAATCCAATGAGCATTGAAATTGGAAATGCTGATATGGTTAAAATATCCATTCTATCTAAAACAATCCACAGATTCCAGATTAATTTTCTATGCTCATAGAAATCTAAGTGGCCCTATTTAAATAAAATAAGAATAGAAAAAATCACATGAAATCACAAAGAACTAAGAATAACCACAATATACTTAGAATTAAAATAAAAATAAAAGCATCATAAGGCCTGGTTTCAAATTTTATGGCCAAGATTCTAAATTAAATGTAATAGATAAATCAGTCCTATGATCTAATCATGTACATTGATTTAATCATTTCACAGTGTGTTTGTGCACTCTAATACCACATTATATGATATAAATACACACAATTATTTCCAATTCTAAATTGTAAAAATCAATCAATCTTATTAATAGAAAAAAAATCCAGAACTTTACAACTTCTAGGATATTGGGGAGGAGGAATTGGAGAGGTGAAGAAAGAAGGGATGGTAGGGAAAAAGAAAAGGAGCAGGTTACAATGTCCGATAGGAAATGCACTCATTACCTTATTCATGTAACTGTAACCTCTCTGTACAGTATTTTTACAATAAAAATTTATACAAAAAAAACAGAACATGTAAAAAAAGAAAAAAATCCAGAAAATGCATCTATCTTAAGACACATAGAATTTGACAAATGCATGTGTGAAGGAGGTTGGATGCAGTATTTCCTTAATATTTACCCATAAGGAGAGGGAACTAAAGGATGTTGATATTACTTTTTTTGAGGGGTAGGGGGTCTGGTCACGGGGCTTTAA